GTCGCGGGCTCGGTCGCTTACCGGTGGCGCGGTTTGGTTAGGGTCCAAGATGAGTGCTCACCAGAACTCGATGGTACGTTCTGGGGGTGAAGGCTCCAGGCGGAGAGAAGGCCGGGTCCCCGTTTATGGTGGCCATGGTACGAAGCCTAGGTGGGTGGCATACAGGGCACTCCCAACACTGGTGGTTGAGATCAGCCCGACAGTTCTCTTGGAGAAGAAACCTGCCACGGTGGTGGTGGCCACCCACGCTTCAGCAAAAAAGGAGTAAGGAGTGTTCTTGCCTGCATTCTCCGAAGCAGGACAGACTATTGTCATGTGAATACCTTCAAAGGAAGCGATACTATTGAGAGTGGATGGCACATGTACGTCAGACTCTGTCCAGGCGGCGCTGCGAAAAGCGCTGCCACTAGTGCCCCCATGAACACGCCCGCAATAAATGGATAGGGAAAAGAGAGCCATTCGCAAGCGAACATGCATAGGCCCTCCTGCTTCGTAAGTCTTGAAGCACGATTTCTTGAAAATCAGGGACATGGAAAGCTTCTTCTGTCAATCCAACGTCGCTTCAGAAAAGTAGAAAGCTCATCAAAGCGAACTGCGGGTACGACGCAAAAGTTGTTTCAGTTATTTTGTTGTGTTGTAGTTCAAATGCAAGCGACCATCGTATGATATCGAGTTCGAGGCAAACCCTTCGACGTGCGTTCTTCAACGCCTAATTGCGTTATACTTGGGTATGCACATGATGTTAAAGTGACCAAGTTCATACACGAGCAATCTATCTTACGATCAGTGGTACGAAGCTCGCTTTATCCGGCACGAATGGCCCTGACAATTTGTGTCTTTGCACTGCAATTTCTATCGATCTCTCGCTTCCTGTGCATTGAAATGTTGCGAGAGTGTTAAGTTGATGGTTGTCTTCAGTTTCTATACACTGCAATGTGTGTCCCCTTTCTCAGTGAATAACAAAAGGCAAAACCGATGGCTCCAAGATAGCTCCGGCAATCGCAGAGACAAACGAAAAAAAAGCCTGACTGTGGTCACAATCATTTGCAATTTACCTATGTGACGTACGCGTTCACATTTCCTAGTTAAAGCTGAAACTTAGAGCCTTAAAGAACCCCAGGTGGTCAAAATTTCCGGAACCCTCCACTACGGCGTCTCTCATAATCAAATAGTGGTTTTGAGACGTTAAACCCCACAAATCAATCAATCAATCAACTTAGAGCCTTCAAAACCTCACATGCGTAATGCTGCGTAGTGGCGACCACTTCTGATTATCAGTGGTCGCGGCATGTGCGATGTGTTTTGCCACGTCACTTGTTTACTTTTTCACAGCGCGCACCGCGGTCAGAGGCTGTGTTAAAGTTCATAATCAATGTTACCATGGTTCTGCGTGGTAACGATCGGGCGAATCATCATATCATGTTCATTATCACACTTTCTCTTGCGGCCTGCTGTAGATAACGTGAGTAGTTTGCTTACCAACACGTTTGCCACGGCCCATATCCAGCATTCTTACCGTTCTGCTTCGTAAAAGCTGAAGAAATCAGCACAAATGAAGTAATTTACGTCCGTGGAAATTCGCAACGCAATCGTAGCCTGACGATAGTTATAGCGCCAGAACAGAACGACGACAAAAAGACAAGTAGTACCAAGATGGCATCATCGTTTTGTGCTCGCGCTATAACTATTGTCATGTCATACCAACTAACCCAAACTGCCACACTTGCAATAGAAGATACAATAGTGGCGTCGACTGGTGTAGGTTTTGCAAATTGCGGAGCTGTTCCGTGTGCTCTTGTTCTCGCCGTCGTTCTGGCAAGTGAATCTATCTATCTATCTATCTATCTATCTATCTATCTATATCTATCTATCTATCTATCTATCTATATCTATCTATCTATATCTATCTATCTATCTATCTATCTATCTATCTATCTACGACTTTTCATGTTATGACCAGTCAAATTTGTACTTCATACAGCTATGTTATGCCATACCGATCAATGTTTGGTATCGATACCATTATCAAAACGGCCAGGAGAGCTAAAAGTCGTAGGCGGCTAATAGATAGATAGATAGATAGATAGATAGATAGATAGATAGATAGATAGATAGATAGATAGATAGATAGATAGATAGATAGATAGATAGATAGATAGATAGATAGATAGATAGAAGTTGCAGCGTGCGTCTCTATCTTCTATGTCACGGTGCGTACGTTGGTGAGGCAGCTAAGGGCAAACCATTTATATGCACCACACAGCGTTTGGCAGTCCACAGCGTTTGGCAGTCTATTCGGGGAGGACCAAGGCCACTTCGCTTGCTCCCACTGCCGCGTTTACGAAAAGAACGCGCCGGCGCGCTGCTGACCCATGACGACATAGAGTTTTGTAAACTTAACTAGAGGGTACACTGGCGCTGCGATCGTTCAGCGACCTCAAAATTTATGGGTATGACATGGATTTGCCTAGTCTTCGTGTTTGCGCGCAGCGAACACACTGCTGGCCAACAAGATCTAGTAACGTAACTTGTGGCTTTATTCATTGCTGCTTTTGGTTTTGTTTGGAGGGAAAGAACCAACCGTTTTCACCACGTGACCCAAATAGAAGTGGTAAGCCTAAATTATTAAGGTGTAGAAGCGCAAATGCCAAGCATTTCTCACTTGTTGTTTCGTGACAAAGCAGCTTCAAGCCATGTGAAGCCGCAACGAAAGTAAAGTACGTAGACTGGGCAAATCCATGCAACACCCATTATTCTCGTGCTCGCTGAAGCGCTATGTAGTACACTTCCCATAGGCACTATACAGCCAGAGTTCCCTCTAGTGTATATTTAGGAAACTCTATGCACAACAAAGTAAGAGCTGTGACAATTGTTAGCGCTTGTCTTGTGCACAAGATAGCGCTCGTTTTGTGCGTCTTTCTTTTTGTTTGAACGGTTATTTTGATTGTCGAACTTTGACAGTTGCAAGTCCGTGCTCATTTTGTGTATGCAACTCGAAAGTTGCAGCTCTCTGCTGCAAGTTTCGACCTGCTTGCCGTTCTTCACATGACTGCAATTTGTTGCTGTTGCTGAAACAATGAACAATAAATTTTCAACTACCTCTGTGAATACACGTTTCGCTTTTGTGTTATACCGATTCCTAGAAGGGGGATGGGTCATGTTTCTTTCTTTTTTTTTCTGCTCCTCGGTCGATTGTAATCGTGTGCCCGGAAAGTTTGTCACAGTATACGTGATTGCGTTCAGCCTGTACAATCTATGCTAGCTCTATAAACGTCATGGGGTTTCGCAGTGCCTGCGGCATCAGCCCACGCTAACCAAACGACGAGGTCATGTGATGACCCATGTGACGTCACAAGTTTTTGCGGGTTTGTTACATCATGATGTTGTGTTGTTCTCAATGTGTCTTCTTTTGTACGTGTCCTTACTTTGCGCTACGATCCATTATCTGAGTAGAGCGCATGCACCTGCATATTTAAAAAATAAAATAAAAATAATAAAAGAGGTGCCAGTGGATGTGCAAAGAAATTCTCCCCCTTCTGCTGGGTACGCTGATGTTCTACTCTTGATAACAAGCTTTATCTCGTCATAGCTTCCTGCTCTGGACCGCGCCACCAGTACCCAGTATGCCGTGTGCTGTTACTTCGTTTTAGCTGAGGCTCTCCATGACTATACTTGTCAAAAAATGATGCACTTCCTTTATCACCTCTAATTTATTTAGGACGCAGATGCAGAAACAAATTTATCATTATAAATTTCACAGAGTGAAATTCCGCGGAAACTTAGGATTGACAATGTGGTCAGGTGTTGGGCTAGTCGGTTCGACATTTTGCTTAAGGGAGCACGAATTTCGTTAAGAATAGAAATATGCAGGTCACTGGACTACAAATGTAGAATTTATTGATAACCTAGCCAATTCAGTAGGTATGCTAAACATATATCGGACCTTGTAACTCGTCATTAGCACGTCAATTATACTTTGTCTTAATTTATAATCTTAATATACTATTATCTAAATCTCAATAACCTGTACATATTATGCAGAAATATCTGTTCGTTTCATTCGTAACTGGAAATAGCACAAACACGTATCTTCCTTTTCGTTTAGCAGAGCACATTCTTTGTATTCATGAGGTATATAGCCAGCCTTTCTCTGAGCTCATATTTATTCAATACAGAAATGGCCCTTAGCGATTTCTCGCTACCCACACTAAGAACAATCGCAACTACAACTTGAGAGATTCTACTTTTTTGAACCCAAAAGGCAGAACTACCTATGGTCAGCAACTTTCAAAATGGCAACTTCCCCATTTACTATATACTTATCCTCAAGCCTTAACCTTCATAATGCAAACTTCTTCCATGTCATCGTTCAGAAAAAGTCAAATATGTACTTCTTTGAGCACATTTAGCTATTACGCCTTGAGTGAACTTAGTTATTCTCTTTACTCTTACATGTATTAGCGTATGCATATGTACCCCCCCATGTTACTGTTCATGTACGAAAGCCTGTAATAAAGCTCCCGTATGGAAAATCGGAGTCTACACTACCACTGCTCTGTGTTTTTTTCCTTTAAAATGATACGTATTTGTTATCAAAAACACATTTTCAAAGCATTGTTGTATTGCCTGTTTTGTATAAACTTCTTCCTAGTGCTCCGCAATGACATTCTGCTCTTGTATTTCATTCTTTCAAAGCAGTTGCGCCGCGTGATGAACTTACAGTGTGAGGCTACAGGCCTAACCAGGTGACTCGTAACCACGGTGGTACTGTGTTCGTAACGTCGCCTTTTGTCCCCTGTGCCACGACAGCTAGTCACATAATGTCAAACGAAAAAGCCATAGATGAGCTTCTAAAAAAGTCCTTAGTTTATTTAAAATGGCGAAAAAAAGACGCTGCCCTTGAGCGCCGTGGGAAACGTTTGAACGGTTGGCTTCCGCCTCCGAGTACAAACTGTAATAAAGTCTCATTCGGCGGCGCGGCATGGTAGAAGTGACGAGATTTATTTATTGTCATATTCGTCAGCGGCAGCGTCGTTGAGGCTGGTATAGTAAAGCTGCTGCTCCAGGGATAGTTTCCAGCCTGAAGCACGCAGCTCTAGAAGTTCGAGTAGGGTCAAGCGAGCTTCCTCGGGAACATCCGACGATAGGAAAGCGTCCCGCAAGCAGTCCACCAGCGCCGCCATGCGGGCAGGGGCACCTCGTTCAGCAGCTTCGCCAGCTGTAGTTAGTGCTCTGCGGAGGCATTCGACCTGCAGTGAAAGTTTTGAAAATTTAGCATATTCGTATGAGCGAATCTCGCAGTTTCTTCACATTTTTTTGTCACGTATTATTTTGTAGTCAGTGAAAATGGGTAGTCCGAATGAATAAACAATTACCCACAGCTATAAGCCTTCAACTGACAACCTCGCGAAGGCCGATTAAACAGCAGGAGTGACGGCATCAGGTCGCCATCGCTTGGCGCCCCATTCCTCCTCCTTCCTCAGCGCCACCTGTACTTAAACGCGCTACCACTGGCGGATTTCTTTCGCTGGCAGCGCCGTCCACTCTGCTACTCCTTCCTCCTCTCTACAACACGTGTTCCACTCCCGTCATAGCTTCACCTTCGCCCTCCTGCCCAACCAGGTCATCTGTTGCACATCGCTACGCTTTTTTTAGCCTGCTCAACCAACACACTCCAGTGGCTCAACTCGTTATTAACACGATTAATATCTGGAGTCCTAAGTGCCAAAAACCACGATATGAATATGACAGATGCCACATTGGAAGGCTCCGGGAATCTGGACCATCTGGTCTTTTTTGACATGCGCTGACATCGCACAGCACACGGGCCTCGACCATTTCGCCTCCATCGAAATGCGATCGCCGAGGACCGGCTCAACTCGTGTGACTTCACTAGTTACAGTAGACTCCCCTGTTACCCTAATGGATTCATCCGCGCTCTCTCTCTTTCATCCCGCTTCGCTCTTGCACCTGGGCTGAATAGTGCGGACGACCGATTCCCAGGATTTTACCGCCGCTTTTTAAACAGCCTCGCCGTTGAAAAGCCTGCCCGGAACACAAAGCACTAACACGAGCTCCCCATTGTACCACATAAACCATGTCAGTGCATGAAACTTCTTGGAGAAAGACCACATACAGGTAAGAAATGATGCTAACCGATGCAACAATGCGAGGAAGCATACAATCGCACCGCCAGTCGCGCTACGTCAATCAGTAAATAGCGGGTGCTTCAGGGCTGCGGACACGTCACAATGGGCTAAGCCTTAAATGATAATTGTCAGCCACAACACAAACAATATATGTAAGATGTCGTCAATTCAAATTTTGTGGGATCAGCCGAAAATATCAGAATTCACCGAATGTCAAAAACATCGAAAGTGATAAGCAAACCATAGGGATAACGTCTGTTTTATATACTTTCATTTTTTGCATGGATACGTGAATGCTGCAGTTATTTCTTATACGAGCAGCGTGAAAGCAGCAGATTTTCTTCATTTTGGCAATTTATTCACCATTCATGTGACCAAGGCGCCAAATTCACTGCTTTTTTTAAAGCCCGAAACGTTCTCTCCACGCCTCCCTTATTGCGTACCGGATGCCAACATTACCACCATTACGCGCATGTGACAATAGTCCCCTTATGGGTAAAAATGGAAGGCATATGATGGTTCACCCATCACGATACAGAAAATGCGTTTTATGCCATCATGCCGACCGCACCCACCTGAACGCTCTTCATCACAAACCTCTTCCACGTACATGAGTTTTGCGACTTGGCGCGCGTAGTGCATCAGGTTAAAACGAAGCTGCGGTCTCACAAACTCAGATGTCAATGAAACTGTGGTCACCAACTGCATGATGAAAATAGCGATCCACACTGCGCAACCTTGTTTCTTCTGTAGCCTGCGAACGCCGTTTTCGTTCTTTTGACTCACACATTTGCGGTGTTTTGCGCTCCGCACCCTTCTATAGGATCTTCTAAATGTGCCCGCATTACCGAGCTTCATGTAATCAAGCAGTGAGTATGCTGACCGGAACAAAAGGATACGTTGAAAGTACCTTGTTTTCGGCATTGATGAGCTTTTACTGCATTTGTAAATACATAGGTGCACGCAGTACCTTATACAAAGGACTACTGGGCGATTCGTTAAAGCGTAAGATGCTGGATAATCACGGCTTCGTAGGCGCTGCGCAACCAAGCTTGTCTAGGCTCACCGAAAAAGTTTACGGCGCGCGTGCCCTGGAGCAAGTCATGGTGGTTGTGGTGACGATGATGAGTGCATACCTTAGCTTCGTAGTCCAGCTGAGGCGAGTTCATGACAAGCCTGCAGGAGTCACACAGAAGCGCCGCCATAGAGAAGATGTGTCCGCAGTGAAGCGCGCCCATAGATGCAGCTCCTGGATTTTCAGGGACGTCCGACAGAAGCGCGGCCATGAAGTTCACGAAGGCGATCAGTACCTGACCGGCATTCTTCTGAGTCTTCGGCTCCAGTGGCGCCCAAAAAGTGGAGCTCTGCACCGGGACGTCGTGTTGCTTGAGCCACTTGCGGCAGGTCCACAAGAGTTGATCGACGAACCCCCCGTCGAACTCAGCCTGTGGTATTATCCAAACAATAAAGGCGCGGAGAAGTAAACAAGTGGTGTTGCAATCAGTGGGTGGTAAATAAAAGTTGTTCTTTACGGGAAAGCGTAATAAACTAGCATATAAGAATTCAGCTCAGCTCAGAAGTCGACGATCGAAAACGGTATATCCCGCAGGCCAGGGACGTTACACGGAGGCAAAATATCCCAGTCTCTATATATAGCTGGGTGATCTAGCACGGACCAGCCGAATCTTGCAATTGATTGTCTTTTCTCATTTCCATCAATAAAGTAAAAATTTTCATGGATTTCAGCAAGACGTGTATGATTAACGAATGTTATCGCGTCTTCTGCTTGCTGTTACGATTTTTTTCTGATATTTGCTCAGTGAAGCGCAGCCGAGAAATGAGTACCTGCCCTGTGTGCCACTTGTCTATGTCGTGTCGCAACGCACTCATTCGTTTCGAATCATATTGATAGAAGGGCTCAGCATAGCGCTTGCAAGGCCTCCGCGAAACACGCATCAGAGTCACAGTGAAAGCTGTGAAATCGCCATCGTGAGGACGTCACATGTTTTTGATGATCTGTGACGCCGTGATGACATATCGTGACCTCATCGCACCATAATTCATTGCGTAACTTGACCATAGTTACGCCACTGACGTGATCGCCGACGAAGGACATCATCGCAGGATGCCGATCACTTTCCGAATCTGACGGGCCATGGAAGCATTCCCTTCAAAAAGTAAGGGTCGTTCTTATACGATAATCACTCACCCTGATGACGCGGGTGCAGAACTTCGCCGCCAGCTCAGCGCTGTCGTCGTCGTGGATGGCTTTCCATAACACTACACGCACAAGTACATCCACTTCCTTTGGCGCCAACAAGGCAGACTCTGAAGAAAACAAGGTGTATGACTTACGTTGCGATAGAGACGTCGAAATTTCGTGTTTAAAGTGCACTGGTCTGGTGAATTCACACTACACTGAGAAATGGTTAATTATGGAATGCATTCAATAATGGTCTTGTGTACAGCCCTGTCACACAATGCCGAATACGTTACAAGGTGATGCAATACTGGTGTCACACGAACAACTTAATTTGATCGCAACCAGGGCAGATCAAGAAAATTGCGATCTAGTTCCTCGATAGCGATTCGACATACAACTCCGCCAAGCTCGACTAAAATCATTTTGAACAGTGAAACAGCAAAGGTTGCTTATTGCAACTGAAACAGGGTTTATTGACACAAGTAGTACTTGCACAGCAGGTCTATTGATGCGGAAAGCGGGCGGCAGCAATGGACCCAGGAATCACAGCACTCGGGGCAAACGCTCGCGCTTGGCTCCTTTCGCTAAAGGTGTGACCCACTGCGGCACATAATCTTCTTCCTCTCTACAATACCCCGGCGACGAAGACGAGCCATCCTGGCAAGTCAAGGTGACGAGAGTAAGAGTGGTTCGTGATAGGGCTTGAGACGACTCACGTGGACTGTCTCATGACCAAGGCGTCGCCTGTCTGTAGATGGCGTGATCGGCTCGATCACATATGTGACATGAGATCGACGTTCCACCACGCGATGAGGACCGTGAAACTTGGGGCCAAACTTAGACGACAGACCTGGGTAGTGGAAGGGCAGTCGGAGCCAGACGAGCGAGCCCACGGCAAAGTCTCGACTTGCTGGTCGCGGTCGTGGCGGTCTTTTTTGAGAGTACTTGCTTGTCCGAGGTGAATGATCGGGCCAACTGACGACACTCTTCAGCGTGGTGTACAATATCAGAGAGAGGGTTGAATTCTGAAACGTCGGGACGATACGGCAAAATGGTGTCAAGGGTGGAGCATGGCTCACGCCCATATAAAAGAAAGAAAGGCGAGAAGCCTGTGGTTGACTGCGTCGCGGTGTTGTACGCAGAGGTCAAAAATGGAACAATAACGTCCCAGTTCGATTGGTCGGAATTCATATACATGGCGAGCATGTCTCCTAGCGTTCGGTTGAAGCGCTCAGTTAGACCGTTGGTCTGCGGGTGGTAGGCTGTAGAGGTGCGGTGCACCGTGCGGCATGCCCGAATTAGTTGTTGTACAACTTCTGATAAAAAGGCACGCCCTGAATCACTCAGTAGTTCACGTGGTGCCCCATGACGCAGTACGAAGCGTTGCAAGACGAATTTGGCTACGTCACGTGCACCAGCCGTAGGTAGTGGAGCTGTTTCAGCATACCTCGTCAGATGGTCGACTGCGACAATGATCCATCGATTTCCAGTGGCAGTGTGTGGAAGGGGACCATATAGATCGATTCCAACGCGGTGGAAAGGGTGCGCCAAACACGGTAAAGGCTGTAATAATCCGGGTGAATGGGCTGCTGTCTTTCGTCGTTGGCATAATGAACAGGACCGGATGTATTTTTGTACAAAGGTGTACATACCACGCCCGTAGTAACGCTGGCGGATCCGGTGATATGTTTTTAACACACCAGCGTGAGCATGTTGTGGGTCGGCGTGAAAATACGCACAGATATCAGATCGCATGTGGCGTGGTACAACCAAGAACCATTTACGACCATCCGGATGGTAGTTTCTGCGGTATAGTTGCGCATCCCGTATCTCGAAACGTGTGGCTTGGCGGCGAAGAGCACGTGGGTACGCAGACGTTGAGGAGTCGGAAAGAATGTTAACGAGAGATTTTATCCGTGGGTCTTTCCGCTGTTCAGACGACATGCTTGAGACGGAAATGGGAGCGATGGGAAAGTTGGCGTCCGAATGCAGGTCTGCGCTGGATCTCACTGGTGATCGTGAGAGGGCGTCCGCATCAACATGTTTTCGTCCTGAGCGGTAGACGACACGAATGTCAAATTCTTGTACGCGAAGAGCCCAACGTCCAATGCGACCTGAAGGATCTTTTAGCGAGGCCAACCAACAAAGTGCGTGGTGGTCTGTCATAACTTCGAAACTCTGTCCGTACAAGTAAGGACGAAACTTGCTTAACGCCCGAACGATTGCGAGGCATTCTTTTTCAGTTACGGAGTAGTTCATTTTCGCTTTCGTGAGTGCGCGGATTGCATATGCGCCAACGTACTCTGGAATACCGGGCTTTCGTTGCGCGAGTAATGCTCCCAGACCAACGCCACTGGCATCTGAGTGCACTTTAGTGGAAGCACTTGAGTCGTAATGGCGTAGAATGGGTGGCGACGTAAGCAGGCGGCGCAGTATAAGGAAGGCTTCGTCACATGCCGGGGTCCAGTTAGAAAGATTAGCTGGACCATTCAGTAGTTGCGTAAGTGGGGATATTATTGATGCAAAGTTGTGGACGAAACGGCGAAAATACGAGCACAAGCTGATGAATCTCCTAAGTTCTTTGAGTAAACTCGGCTTCGGAATGTTGGCTACGGCTCGAAGTTTGTCCGGGTCGTGGCAAATTCCATGTTTTGACACAATGTGAACAAGTATAGTAAGTTGGCGAGCCTCGAAGCGGTGCTTCTTTAGGTTAGGCTGCAGGTTTGCATTAGTAAGGCACTGAAGAATTGTGCGGAGACCGTTGACGTGCGTAGGGAAATCACGAGAAAATACGATAACATCATCAAGGTAACATAAGCATATCTGCAATTTAAGGCCGCGTAAAATGCTGTCCATCATTCGTTCAAATGTTGCAGGTGCATTGCACAGATCGAATGGCATAACCGTGAATTCCTATTGGCCATCCGGCGTAACGAACGCTGTTTTGGGTCGGTCACACTCTGCCATCGGAACCTGCCAATAACCTGAACGTAAGTCCAGCGAAGAAAAGAATTCGGCACCTTGTAGGCAATCGATTGCGTTGTCGATGGGGGAAAAGAGGGTACACATCTCTCCGTGTAATTTTGTTCAGTCGCTGGTAGTCGACACAAAATCTAATCGAACCGTCTTTTTTCTTCACTTGCACAACAGGTGAAGACCAGGGGCTAGAAGATAGCTTGATGACACCGCGCTGAATCATATCGTCCACGTGCTCTACAATTGCACTTCGTTCCTTTGGTGATACGCGGTAGGGGCATTGCCGCAAAGGAGGGTGCGTTCCAGTGTAGATTTTGTGAGCGACGGTGTTAGTTTGACACAGTGCCTTTTGAGGAAGGTGAAATGAATCTCGAAATTTATGGAGAAGGGTTGTTATCTGGTTTATTTGATTCGGAGGAAGCTTACTGTCGATGTAACGATCGAAGATATCCGAGGAGTAGTCATCCCGCATAAAAGGAGGAGTAACAGCGTTTTGTTGAAGTTGCTGGCCAGGGTCGTGGGACTCAATAGGCACAATAACGTTGTCATCGACAGGAAGAACATAGCCCAGTGTTTCATGAGCTCTTAAGGTGAGAGGGCATGAGCTAGGATTGCAAATGACTATTCCGGAAGTATCTTGGTTAGGTAGCAGAACGGCGTATGTCAGAGACGTATACCGTGGCAGCGACTGAAAACGTCAGATGGGGAGAACACAAGGGTAGAGCCGGACAATTCAGTGCGATTGACGGGGACAATGACGGCACTAAGAGGGGGAACATGTATGTCGGAAGCAACAAGAAGCTTGCCAAGGTGAGTGAGCTCATTGTTGGTAGATGGCGCATCAGAAAACACAGAAAGTTCCACCTGCGCGCGGGCGCAGTCAATTACGGCATGGTGGCGTGACGAAAAATGCCATCCAAGTATCACGTCGTGGGAACAAGTTGCCGACACGAGAAACTCGATGTGGTACAGAACGTCCTGAATGATTACTCTCGCCGTACATGCTCCGACTGGTCGAATTGGTTGCGCGCTCGCGGTATTCAGCAATACGTCGGAAGGCGGCGTCGTTACTTTTCGTATCGAACGGCAGAGTTTTTGACTCATCACAGATACGGCGGCACTCGTGTCAACAAGCGCAAGAGTTCGTAGACCTTCAACAAACAGTTCCAAAACGTTCGTGGGGAAAGGGCGAGGACTTCTACAATGCGACGATTTCGCAGCTCGTGCCTCTGGAGCAGCGGCAGTCAGTTTTCCGTCTCTACGGGGGTTCGGTCGGCGACGCAGCGGGGACGCAGAACGGTAGCGGCGTGGTGAGGATGAGCGACGGGGACCGGATGGTCGGTAGTCGGCAGTAGGGTGGTAGTCTAGGTCGGATGGGGACTGGTCGCGTTGCACTGATTGTCACTCGCATTGACGGAGTACTTCACGTTGCGCTTTGTACGGGGCCGTGAAAGAGTCGTCAGAGTACCTCGGAGCTGCAGCCGGGTCCGTTGCGAAGCGCCGGCGACAGCAGCGCGCCACGTGACCTGGATATCCGCATGCGTAACGGATCGCACGATTGTAAACTGTGCGCCAAGGGTTTCCAGTATAGCGCTGTTGTGTTGCTGGAAGTGGCGTCGTTGGTACTCGTAGAGGCTAGGGAGTTGGCTGAAGTGGAGGTCGTGGTGGAGTAGCAACGGACCCAGGAATCAAAGCACTCGGGGCAAACGCTCGCGCTTGACTCCTTTCGCTAAAGGTGTGACCCACTGCGGCACATAATCTTCTTCCTCTCTACACAACCAATAAATCAGATCCGGAGTTGCCCTCGAAGCATAATATTCGTGAAACGTCGATTATGGTTGCAAAGCTGCCTGTCTAATTTATCGACATTACACATTTACTCCTATTATACCGTCGTCACGTCGCGTTAACATCCGGTGTATGATTCAGCGCCTTTCACTGAAAATGGTGCACAATGGTGGTCGAATTATTTCGGATGAGGCACATAGCCAGAATAACTTTTTTTCGGTAGGGGCATCCCCTTAATAGGGCAATTTTCCGCTCTTTAAGCCATGGCGAGAAATAATTTCGTGGGGCGTAAATTCCCGCTGTGCCACCCTCTGGCTACGCCTTTGTAGCGGAACACGGGAACGGGTGTCAAATTAAGGTC